GAGGCCAAATGCCAAAACAGTTATCCTTGTTCCAATATTTCTGGTCCTGACTGTATAAGCAGTGAGAAGCTACATCACAAATCTAATGTATTAAATCCAGAAAAGTAGTTAGATAACAGAGCATTACGTAATACTCTGATTTTTCACTTTTTAAAATATACAAATTATTTCTGAGAATAAAATTAAGGAGGTTTGAAGCAATTCTTATTACACAGTGAAAGGCAAAATTAATAGCAAAACTGACATAAGTGAAGGGCTTAACTGCTAACTCTAAATAACAAGAAACACATATGTTGCACCTTCCGTTTACAGTGGTGCTTAAAAGTTTGTGAATCTGTCTGAACTTTCAATATTTCTGCATAAATATGACCTAAAATGTGATCTGTTCTCCACCCAAGTCCTGAAACTAGATAAAGAGAACCCAATTAAAGAAATGACATGACATCAAAAACATTATACTTGTTCATTTATTGATAGAGGAAAATGATGGAAAGCTACACATTTGTGTGTGGCAGCAGTAAACGTTTGCTGAGTAAGCCTTTGGTGAAGTAAGTTTTACTGTAGCAAAACTTAACTACCTTTTGCAAAGAGGTTTCGAGGGCTATACCAAGTAGTTATTTAGCAGGTGAAAGGGAGAACTTTGCATCTAAAGATTGCACTGTCAGTGTCTGGAAAAGAGGAAATTGTGCTCTTTGCAGATGCAGTCATATGCAAATAACTGTCATAATGAGGGACATGATCAATTTATAAACATTGGGAAGAAATTTAATCTGCTTCCTTGAGAAGGGGCTTAATAAATTCAAAGACAGCAAAGTATACACATCTCAATATTTAGTCCAAGAAATTAATGTACTGTGCATTTCTGCATAATTCTAGGAATCACACAAAAGCCCTCACAATAACAAGAACCATAGATGGACTCCCCTTCATATGCAAAATATTGCATGAAAAGGTATCAAGGAAAACATGATTCCTATATAGACCTAGGGCTCTTATGCATATGGTTGCACATACATGTACATATGAGTGTGTGTGAACTTGCCTATGCATGTACGTATTCAAGTCTGAAACTACGGTTTGCCCTCTGGGGAAAATGCATTGATCAAATAAAAAATATGTATGTATGTGTACAGTCATGTGAAAAAGAAAGTACACCCTGCTGTACGTTCTATGGTTTTACGTATCAGGACATAATAAAAATCATCTGGTGTTTAGCAGTTCTCAAAAGTAGA